ATATCTGATCTATTGGAACCAAGGGGGGTTCTACTCAAATGGTTTAGAATTAGGATATTTGATCTTCATCAAGTCTTTGAGTCAGGGGGAGTTTCATAAAAAGGATAAGTATTCCTTAACTTTCTTATTTTACTTTTTCTGATTATGTACCAAATTGTGTTATCAAAATATATAATTTTGTCATCATCAAAAAGGGGGAGATTGTTAGAACAAGATTTGGTTCTGTAACTTTATCTATGAGTTTTGATGATAACAAATAGTATGTTTATATGAACAATTTTGGTACTCTAATGTGTGTTACTTATGAGTATCTAACAAACAGGTTCTGCTTCTGATAAATGGCATGGCCAAAACATTAGAAGAGACAAGTTCCGCCTTTGTGCTATATAAGTTCTGATAAACAGTAACAAGACACTCCAGAAGACTCTGAAGTGTAGGCTCTGATATGAAGTCTAAAGAAACCAGTTAGAAGATCTGAAGACAAAAGTTCTACTGAAGTCCAAATGCTAAAGACTTAGGTTTCTGAAGACAACAAGTTCTAAAGGAACCAGTCAGAAGACCTAAAAACAGAAGTTTATAGTGAAGTTCAGATGCTGAAGACTCATGTTTTTGAAGAAAAGGGTTCTCAAAGACCAACTGCTAAAGATTCTGAAGACGCATTTCTGAAGACTCTGAAGACTTGAAGTTCTGAAGATCCAAGGTTCTAGAACAGGTTCTCAAGACCAAGTGCTGAAGATTATGAAGACACTGTTCTGAAGATTTGAAGTTTTTAAGACCCAAGGTTCTATAAAAGGTTCTCAAGACCAAGTGCTGAAGACTCTGAAGATGCAGTTCTGAAGACTCTGAAGAGTTGAAGTTCTGATGACCTTGTGTTATGTTCTCTCTTCTAAGTTCATGCTTGCACAAGCCTCTAAAGTACAGAAGGAAAGAAGATAATGTTAATGTAGTATAATAGTACATGGTACAAACAAAATGTTCCATTCCACTACCATGAAGGATGGATGTTGCGTATGATCTTGTCCCCCGCATAATTCAAGCTGCCAACTTTCTGGAATTTCTAGAAATGCCCTTCAATGGATATATTATTTTATTGGGTATATAAAGGGCTTGAAGACTAAGAGAGAAAGTGGCCAATTCACTAAAACATATACACACAAGGTTGTTTATACACTTTAATATTCTTTTAGTTTATACATGTTATAAAAATTGTTTACATATTAGCTTGTTAAAGAAGCACATCTCTTGTAAACACAACTTGATTCAAACGATTATTTTATTTTCCTTAAGGGACCAGTTAGGTCTGTATCCTTAAGAAGTCTAAAATTAGTGTGTCTTAGAAGTTGTTAGTCACTTACAGGTAGCTTGTACATTTTAATAATCAGTTGGATTATTGGATTAAGTCCTTGTTGATAAGGAGAATTCACCTTGGCGAATGGACTAGACTAGCTTGATAGTATTCAAGTGAACTAGTATAAACATACCTTGTTCTTTACTTCCTATTCTTAATTATTGTTATTATCAAGAGTGGAGAAAAAAGTGTTTTAATTAAAGGGGAATATTTTTAATGAATATTTTTTTATTTAAAACCCAATTCAAACCCCCATTTCTTGTGTTTTTCACACCTTTAAACTAACCCCTCGGATTTTAAACAACTGATGTGATAAGGGATAACTTTTCATGACACCCTTCATTACCTCACTTCACATCCGAGTTCAAACGCATTTCGCGTCCGAGGTAAGAAGCATTATTTGTAGTAGTGAATTATTGATTAGCAATTATTAAGAATGGAAAAAGACAATTAGGGGTATGAAATACCTTACTTAATTGGGTTGCCTAAAAGACAATCAGACCTTCCATTATTGACTTGAAGAGAAAGTTAACACATTCATTGTAAATGATGTATATATCTATTCGGGTTCTAGGGTGCAACTCTCTATGCATTCAATTAACTACCCTTAGTTCAAACTTATTAAAGAGCGTCATTTGTATTTTTTTTTCTGCATATCAAAATATTTTTTTCAATACCATTACAAAATTTATTATTTTTCACCAATATATTTTTATCTACACCCATAATTTATTCATACTATGAAGAAAAAAATTGTGATTCATTAATAATGTTAACACATTTATGTTGAAATGTAGTCTAAAACCAAAGAGTCTCAATTAAACTTCACAAATTCTCAATTAAAATGTAAATATAAATGTCAATTAATGAGATTTTTAATTTCAACTTACGCAAATATACTCTTCATCTACTACTCTTTCAATATACTCCACACTAGGGGTGGTAAAACAGACCGCCCACCCCATCTTAAGCCCACTAAAAAAGTAACAGAATGGGTAAGACTGTCAAGAAGAAATGGACATAAAAAACATTTTTAACAAGTGATATTTTTAGAACAATTTTTTAGAAAAGATATTTTTAATAAATTTTACTTAAAAAATATTGCATATATTCACAAATAAATATATAAAATAAAATCATCAAAAATTGGAATTACTAGAATTAACTAAAAAAGGACGGTATTGAGGTGGGACAGACTGAACGAATAGGCGGAACAAACTTTGGCGAGCCGCGGACTTTGGTGGAACGTACTTTTGTGAGCGGCAAGTGACAGATCCAAAATCCCAATACAATCCGCCATTTTTTGGCGAGTGCGCGAGCCAGCTCTATGGGTCACGACCCGTTTTTCCACCCCTACTCCACACATGGTATTTTCAAGATTATTTTACACATATTTGTAAGCAAATGTAAGACATCGTTTTACTAATTATAACTACCAATTGAATTGTATTCCTAAAATAAATTATCATTATTTCGAGATTGAAAATATGAAAATTTATAATATAGATAGAATATTAAAATTATTTTAAAAAAACATAAACATTACAAATATGTTAACAAATATTTAACTCATTTTTAGAAAAATTCTAATCAATTACAAAACGAATAATTATATCAACAAATTTGATACTATTTTGTAGACCATGTATAATCTAAAAATTTATATTATCACATTAGACAACCAAAAATTCAGAGCTTCTAGAACAATATTTGAGTCTACACTTTAAATTGCAAATTAAATTGTTTATCCAAAACTAGTGCCATAGCATAAAAAAAAACAAAATTAGGGTTTTCAAAACGATAAGAAAAGAAGGAAATAGATTGTATGAATCCAAATTGATTGCATATAAAAGCACTTGTAGAAAAGGTCCAAACTTTTGATGTTCTGTCAGCAACTCTGATAGACATCGACCGCAAAAATTACAACATTAAAAAAATAACAACCCTTTTCAATTCTGAATCAAAAGCATATGAATTTACTAAAATCAAATCAAAAATCCAAAAAATAAACGTAAACCCTTTACATTTTTATTCTAAGCTTGAATCTAATCATCAAAATTGATCTCAAAGTAAAAAAAGAAAAACCTAAACAATACCTGTTAACTTTTATTTGGTTCTAATATTAGGAGAGGCAGCTCTAACATCATAAAATGACTCCATGAAAGCTTTTAAAATATAAAAAATTGGCTCTCAAATAATACAATAACTATGATACAGAAAAAGAAAAAACAATGAGTTTTGGTTCATACAATTCAACAAATATTTTAGGGGCAGATTTGAAGCTGAATTTGTGAAATATGAAACACAAACTCAAAGATTGTAAAAATTAAAACTGAAACGCATCAATTTAAAACTATAAAACAAAGCATATATCTTTTAATATAAAATCAGAAACCAGGATAGAAATTTAGGGAAATAGTTGAATATGCTTCTTCTAATCGAAATTGAAGGATGAAAAACAAAAAAAAAAAAACAAAGAATTACAGTATAACAAAAAGCGAAACTAACATCAATAATCAAACAAAAAAAAAGAAGAAAAAAAAATCAATACAATACTTGTAGGTGAAAATGACATGCATGAATCAAAAAGTATGGGGCATGAACATGGTACCTTAGCAAGTTGGAAACACACTGATTTTGAAACCTTTTTGATTGTTGGAAATACACTGCATATGCTAGATACTTATATTGAATGGTTTTAAGTGTTTACATTGGTAAAAGTGTCTTTACGTTTTCCACTGTGCAAGTAAACATGCATTTCACGTAAGAAAATGGAAAGGCATCAAAACAATCATAAACCTTCACAACATGCGTGTAAATAGAATTCCAATGCATCATTAAAATGTGATTTTAATTGTATTACTATTACACCTAATAACATTATATGTGAGTAATTATAATCAAGGGCATGAGATACTTTCATAAGAGCATGAAAGGAAATTTTGGTAGACATCGATTTTTTTAATTATTACAGTAGAATGAATAAATTTATTATTCTTATTGTATTATGTATTTTATAATAAAATACAAAAGTAAAAGTTTAGTTATTTTGAAGAACTTAGAAAAATAAGTTAAATTTTTTTCTTAAATAATGTCATAAGTTATTTTCATAAGTTATCCTAAATAAATAATCTCACAAAACTTATGCTACCATGTAATCTTAAATAAGTCAATGTAAACAAAGTTTTAGAGAATAGTGTGTCATTGTAATCTTAAATAAGTCATTAAAGTCATAAGTTATTTAAATAAATAATCTCACAAAATTTATGTTACTATATAATCTTAAATTTAACTAATATTTAAATATACTAGAGAATCACATTTACGATGACTTATGAAAATAACTTATGAAAAAATGGTGTGTCATTGAATCAAACATGTGCTCCTATATCTCATATTCCTACAAAGCTACTAACTAAGCTACATTAACGAGAATTCTTTTAAATCTTTTACATAGAGTTTTTTTACTAATGAATTTTTTCGTACCCAAATACTAATAACCATTGCCAATATGCATTTTTTATATAAATATGTATATTATATGTTATTACAATTTTTTTACAAATTTATACATTATCAGAAAGACCTTTCATTAAAAAAAAAGTGGTTCTATATTAAAAAATAATATAACTAAGATTATCACTGTTCTTCTTCATGCTGAGGGAATTGTAGGATACTTTACCACATCTAGACGTAGTAGAAATGGATAAGAAAGTGAACCACAATATATATAATTATCAACTTTAATCCCACTTGAAATCAGTGATAATTGAGGATCATAATAATGACCTGTTAGTTTTCCTCCCAAATCTACAACCATAACTCCCCCATTCATCTCCAATTCTGGCCTTGTAAAATACTTTGTAACCATTGTTGTTGTTTTCTGTAGGATAGGATATCTTAATAATAGATACCATTTAGGAGTTATCGACTGTCATTAAAATATACAAAACATTTAACAAAAAACAAGAAAGGCAATTATAACATTTATCAATAATGCTCCATACAAAACAATTATGTTACCGTTGCCATTCCAATAAAATATTGCCCTTGTCCAACGTAATGAATATTATCTGGCATGCCGGGTAGATCAGGACAAAATTCACCTATTCTTCCTTTTTTGGGACCTTGAAGGTAAAGTTTTCTGCACCTATACCTGTAGAATATGTAGTTTCAAAAATAAGTTTAACTATTTAAACAAGTTCTAATTAAGGTCATAAACCAATAGTGAAAATGATTCGAAATACTATGAAAAATGACTTTGTCGTCTAGAAAATAGAAACTTAATGTCGATTGAAATAATGATAAGTTTGGTGTGGTTAGAGAACAAAATAAATAAATAAAATTAATATAATTGGAGTTTTAAATTAGAACACATTGTTTTTGCTAAACTAACATGCTATGATTTTAGTTGGCTACCATTCCACATGTGTCTACAAGTTATTCTCACCAATTGAGAATAAAATGGTGATTAGTAAGGATGTGGATTTTGATGAAAGTAATTGATGGAAATGACTCAACTCAATGTACGAGGGTGAAAGTTTAAGTCACATTAGAGCCACCATTCAAGATAATGAGCAAGTAGTAGAAGTTGAGACTGAACCTGCACAACCTCAGATGGTGTGCAGATTATCAAGAGCCAGAACTCAACCAATCATACATAATGGTGAGATAATTAAATAATCCATGATGGTTGAATTTGAGCTATTAGATTATATGTTCAAGCCATGAGATATGAGAATTAGGAAGAATACTAGATATGCGTATACATATAGTTAATGATAGTTACACATGTGGTTATTAAAAAGTTATACATATTGTTACTGATAGTTATACATGTAGTTATTGAAAATTATATATATGGTTACGGATAGACATACATGTGGTTTGTGATAGACATACATGTGGTTAGTGATAGTTACACATGTGGTTATTAAAATTTATATTTGTGAATAGTTAGTAATATGATCCTATATAAATGTTTTTAATACACTCAATTCAATTCTAATATTACTCTATTTACTCAATTTTTATTTAATATTTTCTATTTTCCTCAAATTTCAAATAACTAGTAATTTAAGTTATCCAATAAAATGGTATCTAGAGCACTAATTTGGTCTTCTCCATCCATGGAAAATGGGAGTATAACCTTTTATCAGTTCCCAGCCAACCTATTTGTTTTCAAGGGAGAAAGTTATGATAAATGGTGTGCACAAATGAAAATGATATACATATTTCAAGATGTGCTTGAAATCATGAATGATGGTTTTTTGACATTAGAGGAAAATGTTACTATGGCGCAAGGAGCTTCTCATTGTGAAATGAGAAAGAAAGATGGGAAAAGCTTGTTCTCGATCCATCAGCATCTGAATTCAAATGTCTTTGAAAAGATCATTGAGAAAGAAACAGGCCAAAGATGCGTGAGATACTCTCAATAAGTTGTAAGGTTGGATGAGAAAATAAAGAAAGTCAAGCTATATTCGTTAAGGAAATAATATGAGAATATGCAGATGAATGATGATGAAGTCATTGTTTAGGTTTTCTCAAAGTTAGTGGTTTTGAAAAACTAAATGAAGTCGTGTGGAGAAAAGATCTATGAACGACAGAAAGTGGATAAAGTTCTAAGAGATCTTCATGCCAAATTTGGTCACATTATTATGGCCATTGAAGAGTCCAAAGATTTTTTGAAAATGAAATTTGAAGAATTGCAAGTATCTCTTGAAGCTCATTAGTTGAGGCTGAAACAGAGAAATTTGGAAAAGGTGTCTTAACAATCTTTGCGGGCTAAATTCATCAAGAAAACAAAATAGGACTCCTCAAAGAACAACAAAGTTAAAGAAAGATGGAAGAATAAGTGGAATGAAAGTGATGGTACATTAAAGAATTCAAAAAGTATGAGTGGGACAAGCAAGAATAATGTTGATCACAATAAAAAATTCAAAAAGAAGGTGGATATGAAAAAAGTTCAACGCTTTTGTTAGCAAAAGTTTGGACATTATGCTTGAGATTGCTACTTCAACAAAGAATCAAAGTTTAATGATAAGAGTTTAGAAAAATTTTGTCATGCTGGAAGTAGTGACTCATAAGATGTCATTTTGATGGCTAATACACAGTTGGCTTAAGACAAAACTAATGTTTGATACTTTGACACAGGTTGCAACAATCAAATGAATGTGAATAAAAACTAGTTCATCAAGCATGGAGAATCAATTAGGAGGTCCATTGGGTTTGCAGATAATAGCATGCTCATATCAGAAGGAATGAGGAACATTCTTGTAAAGAAGAAGGATGGGAAAGAAGCGATTATATGTGACATCATGTATGTTCCCTATATGGCATGCAACTTTATTAGTTTTGGACATTTTCTTGATAAATACTACACAGTGAAGCTAGAAGGTAAATAGCTGAAGGTGTTTCAGGGAAGTCTTAAGTTAATCTTGAAGGCACATTTGTCAACCAACAGGACATTCAAGATTATGATTAAAATGTTAGACCATTAATGTCTTGCATAAACCATATTTGGGGATGAAAATTACACTTGGCATCAAAATTTTGGCCATCTCAATTTAAGGAGTCTCAATTTGATGCACCTAAAGATGATGGTGTATGGTCTTTCCATGATTATAATGCCAAAGAAACTATGTGAGTAATGTTGCATTGCCAAGATTGCTAGAAAGTCATTCAAACATGATTTTCCAATTACTACAAAAAAATTGTAATTTACCACGTGAAAATCATGTCACTATCTAAAATATCATGTCGCTACACTTAAATTAACGTGAGCCAACACATCGCATGAGCACAAGTCACAAATTTTTATGACGTGGAAAACACGTTGCAACTTTAGCACCTGAAAATCACATCATTAATATGTTCATAGGCATATGTGCAGAAACCACCACCACCTTCCTTCACGTTTCATAGAACCACCACCAAACAGAAGCCTTCATGTTTCTTTACGGCTTCTTCACATCTTCTCAACAGCGGAAACCGAAATAGAATCCTTCGATACAAAGGGATTTCCTTGTCCCACATCATAATTTCCATCAAAAACTCCATTTTTATACTTCAAGCTCCAAGATTTTGAGGAACCCCTTGAATGAAACTGATTTTTGTCAATTTGGGTTTGCTTTGGGAAGAATAAAATTATGTTTTTTGTTTTAATTTTTGTAAGAAGATGTTGTTGTTTTCTTGTTGTTGAGAGAGAAAAGAGAGTAACGAATTTGAAAGAGAAGAGGAAAAATGTTTTTGTTTTTGTTGTTGTTCGGTTTTGAAGAAGGGGTGGAAGAGTTTGGTTCTTTTGATGAAGAAAAGAGGGAAATGTTATTTGATGAAGAAGAGTAGGGAAGTTTTTGTGTTTCCTTTTTCTTTGAAGATGGTGGAAGGTGATGAAGAGAGAAGAGAGGTTTTCAAAGGTGATGAAAGAGGAAATAGACGCATGAGAAAGAAAGAGATAAAGAGTAGCAACTTCATTTATTTTGTTTTCTTTATTCAAAACAGTTCAACAACGTGTTTTTCACATCACAACGTTTTTTTCCAAATTTTCAAATCCCCCACGTGAAAACCTGATTTTTAGTTATTTCTATTTAAAATTGTAAATGTTTAACAACATGAAAATCACGTGGCAACGTCCTTTTTTAGCGATGTGGCAATATCACATCAATGAAGCTCATTTTTCTTGTAGTGAATGAATTCCTAACAAAAATTAGAGATAGTGCACCAATATGTGAGTGGTTCCTTTAAAGTTGAGTCACTAAGAGGTAACTTCAAATTCTTAATCTTCATAGACGAATTCACTAAATATATATGGATTTATTAGTTGGAGAAGAAAACTGAGGTGTTCACTAATTTTAAGAGATTCAAATTGCTAGCTTGGAAGGAGGCTGAATGTACAATCCAAAGGTAAAGAATAGATATTGGTGGTCAATACACCTCAATCGAATTTACTCCATTTTGATAAAAGGAATGGATTGAGCATTAAATTGTAACACCATACATACTTCAGCATAATGACATTGATGATAGAGATCAAAAGTATCTTAAACATGGATGCATGGTCAAGGAAAAGAAAATGTTAGACAGGTTATTGGGGGAGACTACCTCAACTATAATCTACATCATAAATAGATATTCAACTAAGAAGTTGCACAACAAGACTTTTCATGAAGCTTAGTCTGGCCTAAAAGCAGATGTTTGACACTTTAAGATGTTTTGCTCATTATGTTAGTGGCATGTATTAAAGCAACTTATAGGAAAGCTCGATGATAGAGGCTAAGTCATGATTTTTATTGGCTATCATTCCATAAGTGCCTCCAAGTTCTTCTCACCAATTAAAACATGTGTTCAATATAAAAAGTTTTACACAAAAAGTGCATCACAACTATTCATGGATGGTATTTTAGATGGGATTAAAATAAAAGTCAAACAATTATAAAAATTTAATGATTATGATTAATTGAAAGTGTAAAATATATTTACACTTTAAATGTATATCAATTAAATTCGTAAAATCATTAAAATATTATATTATTCAAATATAAATATTACTAACATAAAAACACTAATCTAATTTCCAAATTTGTATATATTAATGGATTAAAAATTGTGTGGTTGAAATGATAGTATAATGCTTTAGTATACTTATGTGTAATGAAAATCATATTTTTTTCGATAATCACGTGTATTATAACTACAAGGAGTGCAATTCAATAGAAAAGGAAAAAAAAATAGACTAGAGTAGCCAAAAAAAATTGAAAACTACAAACCTATATAAATCCACGGAGTGGCAAACCACATATCAGGAGCAACATCACAATTGTCATTCGACAAAATAGAAAATTAATCTCAACCTAATTTCTTAACAAAGAGCAAGGTAACACCCCCATAAATATATTTCTTTAATAATTTAATTAAAGTACACTAACACAATAAGATATACGACTATTAATTTATTAGAAAAATTTAACTTTTATTATAATCACATGTAAAATAACATATGCATGATTGAAATAGATTAACCATGTAAATTTTTTTACACATACCGTACAATACGATTAATCTCTTCTTTTAAAACAAATTTGATATTTAAATATTAAATTAAAAAAATTAATATCTAAATATCTAATATCGGTAGATAAATGAATATCAGCTAAATATTTATTATAAGATGGCAAAATATATCACCACGTAGATTAAACCTATTTTATCCGTACTTTTTATGAAACGAGTCAAAATTTTAAATTCGAACCCTACTATTATATAATCATATCCATAACCATGGACACAATAAATATACTATCAATATATTAAAATAAAAATTAAAAAAATACAATAGTTGTTATTATATTTAAGAATTAATAAAGTACTTACAAAATAGTCTCACAGTAGACGACGAATTTTTGATCCGGTGCAACAGCAACTCCATTAGCAAAGTAGAGATTACGTGCAAGCAATTTCACTTCTTTTGTCACTGGATTATAGCTCATGAATCTCCCATGAGGTTTACCTTCCACAATATCAAAATAGAAATCCTCCAAATTGTATTTGTACGTTGCGTCTGTGAAATAAATTGTTCCATCTTCACCTACGTCAACTCCATCTGTTAAATTGAATTTCAATCCGTCGTATTCATTCGCCAGAACTTCCACCTTAGATTTCTTTCCTTTTACTGTCACTCTCAATAGCCCCTGCATCAAGTGGACGATCTTCAACTTAACAGTATTATATACAAAAATTAAGCTAAATTTTATAAAAATTAGTACATGTTTAATCCTAAATATTATTGTCAGAAAGTAGATTATTTAGCATAGTAATGGTTTCTTATTTCACTACGGTGTAAAATTTCTTTAGATTAACTGAGCCTGTCTACTAAACTCAATGGTTTTCTCTATAAAGATTATGTAAGTTATTACACTATAGCATAATGTATAGACATAGAGGTCATTTTGGGACTTACCAAAACGGCGTCGGCGACTATGAGTTCACCGGTTTTCTCCAAAGCGAGTCCAAGAGGTCTTCCACCGGTGTTAACCCAGTTTCTAACAACCGAGTCAGCCACCGATTTGTTCACCGTGATTTGCTTGATCCAGCCATCCTCGCAACCAGTGTAGATGAGACGGTTCCTCTTATCATAAGCCAGGTCTTCAGGTCCCTTCACTTTTCCCTCCACCACAACTTCCGGACCAACCAACATGGGTGGGTTGACAGCCGGAGCCGATGCGGTTCTCCGGGGTAACTCCCTGGATGGAAAGTGAACTGGTTCGAAGGGTTCGAGTTGGTCGAAAACCGCAGCTAATGCTAATGGAAAAGCTATGACTAATAAGGTTGTTGAAAGACATGATCGTGTTTGTTTTCTTTGAAGTTGTGGGGAAGAAACTGTAGCGCTTGATTTTGACATTTTGGTTTTGAAGGACCCTAATTAGAATTTGGAATAACATAAAATGCAATGTGTTTAAAATTAAATCTATTATAAATATATAAATTTTAAAGTATTGGTTTATTATATTATAATCCTTTTGATTATAAGTCACAATTAATTTAATTATAAGGGGTATTATTGACTTTTTGAATTTTATTTATTTTATATTCATTTGACATTAAATGTCGTTGATGTTGGTTTTTATATTATTTTAATTATATAAATTATTCCACTAAATCCTGATTAATGTGTGGAATATGAGCATTCAATTATTTCAAAATTTACACGCTCATCAAGAGTATGCTTTCAATGAACTGTGTCTTCCAACTTTCGATATTGTGTCATCAATTGTTGGCTTTTCATTTTTCTAAACTCTTATTCAAAAATATAATGCAAATCATGTCAAACGATACTTTCAGAACACCTCTTCTTCAAAGCACATCTTCAAGTTGTAAACCATCTCATGTAAGTTTTGTTTTTGTCATTACTTCGATTTATGTTTCAAATTATAGCTTTCAACCTTAACTTGCGGTTTATGTCTATTTTGTTTTGTGCTTATAGCTATGAAAACCCTAACGCAAATCGATCTTCTGAATTGTCGATTTAGAGTTTGTTTTTCTTCAACTTCTTAAATTTTTAATTTTCTAAATCTTTACCAATTGATTAACTATGTGTTTATTGAATTACCAATTTTCAATTGTATTCGTATTGTTGTTAAAAAGAGATGGACTTCTGATGTTTTGTTGTTTCGATTGTGTTATTGAAAAAGAGATGTAAGTGACATTTATGAACATCAAATTAATTAGTGTAAAAAAGCTTATTAACTGTTCGATGAAATGTCTGTGTTGTTGTAGGGATTTCAAATTGCCAGGAAATGAAGAAAAATAATTATGACTTTACATAGAGTTATGAGAAGCAATATATTGATGCACCTGAATTGATGGATCTTCTCCTGGACACATTGCTTCACTCTACTTCCATAATCATCAACTCCTATGATGTCTGTTATTGATCAGATTACAACAGATTGTGTGGTGATTTCAATTCAAATAAAGTAATGTTTTGTTCTATTTTTGTTTTGTATTTTTTTTTCTGGACTGAGCTTTGTGTTGAAATGTCAAATTAGATTAGATTAGATTTGATTAGATTTAATATTTAATATAATCCAAGTTGTGTTAGCCCAAGCCCAATTAGGGTTGTATATAAATAGTCATGGTGTGTATCACTATTTGTACAATTCAATAATACAAATCCTTATTTCCTTTATTATTCTCTCTTTCTCTCCTCACTAAAAGTGTCTCACGCACTAACAAATTGGTATCCAGAGCTTCCGGTTATTGTTCTTGATCAAGTTTTCAAGAATTTCACGTCAGAGATCATTTTTCTAGGGCAAGTGAATCATCCACTGCGAAGATGGCTAGTGATAAGGGAATTTTGAATTCTCTTCCAATGCTTGACGGAAAAAATTGGATCCGATGGAAAAAATAGATGAAATCCTTGTTTGGCTTTCATGAAACCCTAGAAGTGATTACCGACGGTGTTCCTGCGTTGGCTGCAAATGCAACCGATGAACAGAAAAAAAAACCCACAACAAAGTCAGGAAGAAAGATTGAGAGGCTGCTTATTGCATTCAAACGGCTATCGACGCTGCTAATTTCGACATAATCTCTCATGCTAAAACAATGAAGGAGGCATGGGATATCATGGTGAAGTATTACGAAGGAGGTGAGAAATTCAAAGTTGTCAAATTACAAACCTTGTGTCGACAATATGAGTTGTTGTAGATAGGAGAAGATGAGAAAGTTGTAGAATATTCAAGAATGTTGACCTCTCATTTTGATCACGTTATCGTAGCTATTCAAGAATCCAACAATCTTGAAACCACTAAAGTGGAAGACTTGGTTGGTTCGTTGGAGGCGCATGAGATGAGGATTGTTGAAAGGAAAGAAGCTCAGGACTCGATACAGGCGCTGCAAGCCCAGTCATGGAAAAAAGATGGTGTTTCCAACAAATTCAAAAGCAAGTTCGACAAGACTCATGGAAAGAAGTATTGGTCGAATCCTCATGAGAATAAGGTCAAAGATAGATCTTCTGAATCCTCGAAAAGAGGAGGAGGAAACTATCGAAAGGAAAAAGAAGATAAGAAAGGTATGTAGTGTTATAACTGTGAAAAGTGGGGACACTTGGCCAATAATTGTTGGTATAGAAAAGACAAGGGATCGAAAGGAAAGGACGAAGGAGCGAACCTTGCACGCCAAGATTCAGATGATTCTGAAGATGGTATGGTGGTTATGGCTGCAGTTGCAGATAACCATGTCGAATCCAAGATCCGGTTTCTCGACTCAGGCTGCTCGAACCACATGACTAGTCAAAAAGAGTTGTTGACAGATTTTGACGAGTCGAAGAAGAGCAAGGTAAAACTTGCTGATAATAGTTCGTTTCAAGAAAAAGATACTGGCAACATAGTCTTTCAAATGAGTAATGGAGGAAAAGCTAAGATCAAAGAGGTGCTCTATGTACCTGGAATGAAATGCAACTTGCTAAGTGTTGGACAACTAGTCGAAAAAGGTTTATCATTTGTCATGAAAGATGGAATTTTGAAATTGTTCGACACCAAGAACAATTTGATTTCACAAAGTTGATTCTAATGGTGTTTCTTCGGATGGAGTTCATGTCCTACAAAACAAAAACAAAGATAAATTCCTAAATCCTTGAATTGGTTAGTAAGAATGAGTATGATGTTATGATGTTTATGATGTTATGTACAAGTAAGCATATACACACAAGGAAAAACAAGTCCTTAGGCTTAGGCTTGCATGGAGTTTGTAGGTAAGTACCCTCTTGAAGTTCAGTTGACTCAACCTATCCTAGTTAATAGTACCCGGGTTATAAGGGATCTCAATATCACAGACCTTTCTTTTAGGCATTGTCTCAGCTCAATCAATCTTTTCTTGCGGCTGAGATATCCCAAAAGTCTAGTCTCAATGAGTGTAGTATCGATTATCAACCAATTTTCAGCTTTTCACCGAAACCAGTTATCTCACTATGTCCTAATTGGCCAAGTTTGTTCAATTAAGGTTCTAAAGTCAGTTAGTGCTTCATGACGCTGCTCAGCGGCCCCGTATTCTCCTCGATTCAACACAAGGGATACTGGTACCCACAAATGCGTCACACTAACGTAGCCATTGTTTCAACCATATCGGTCTACACCGTAGAGTTTCCACAATCTATTGCTACTTACCTAAAAAGGTGTCCCAGATCCGGTTAGAGGATTAAAGCAAACTCAAACAACAAACCATAATGTAAAGCATACAAGTCAAACAAAGAAAGCAATTAAAGGTGATCTAGCCCTAAGGTAACCCCACTTTTTAAGTTTATTCCCTAGCAGAGTCGCCAGCTATGTGATACGGTGGAAGAACTGACTTGGGTGTTTTGTGTTTGATCGCAATTGTTGCAGATAGCAAGAGTCGCCACCGACTTTTCTTTTATCCAAAAGGAAAGGCTAAAAAGAATAGGAAAGACCTTTAGAGATGTTTTCTTTAGTTCGGGGGGTATATTATGAAAAGGGAAGGTATTAGCACCTTTTTCATCCGTAGTTATCTACGGGCTCTTAGTTGCTTGCTAGATCACTTGCTTTTGTTTGAATGTGTGCTTGTGGTGTGGTTTTTTGAAAGTATTTTGAAAATGTCTTTGTAATGGTTCTCGTTTCTATAAGAACGCGTACAAAGTGTTGTTTTGAAAATAGTTCAAAGAGGTGTTTGTGGAATGTGTTTTTTGAAAGTGACTTTGAAAATGTGTCTTCTTTGTAATGGCTCTCGTTTCTATAAGAACGCGTACAAAGTGTTTGTCTTTTGAAAATGTTTCAAATGAGTGTGTTGGTGTATAAAAATGTTTTTGTGAGAAAGCGAGCAACTAGGAGCGAATCTACCTATTCAAAAGGTCTTAAATGTTCTTTTCCTCTCCTTTAGATGTTGCTATCTTACCATTGATTGATAAGAAGCCCCCGTCGTTTGATGTGAAGGGACAGGAGCGGGACGTTTGTATAGTCATAGAAGGCAACCTATGGGACGTTTTAGCAATATCGTTTAGGGACTATATCGTTTACCGAAGGCAACATCGAGGGTCATCGAGGGACTACGATCTTTTATCGAGGGTCTTTGCTAAAACACCCATGTTCGAGGGACATGACTATTTTTCCGAGGCAACAAGTGAGATTACCCTAAGGGTGCATGTGTGAATAGTGTGTTTGATTTACATGCATTTAGTATTTGATTTTTAGGTTGTCTACTTGTTGATTTTTATCTTGCCATACATCATAATTACTAACATTTATATGAAAGCGATAAATTGCGGAAAGTAAAGATTCTACGCTATTACAATCATTTAGGGGGATGGGGTGTACAAATTTACAAATGGAGATTGCAAGAAATTAAAGTCCTAATTATCTATTACAACCATATTGAAATAATGTACAAGAAATGTAAAATGGGTTTGTTTTGTTTAAGCAAAGAAGTTAGTTTACTTAAGAAAATATTTTGATCTTTTTGTTCTAAAAGAAATAAAATAAAACATGTGAATATGAAATGTTTTTGGTGTTTTTGGTTATTAGAAGCTAAAATAAGATAAATAAGAGGGGGGAAAAGGAGTCATAATCAACACATTGCTGAAACGAGAAGGAACAGAAGTTCTGACTCTGATACGCTGCATGAGAGAAAATGTTAGTAGGGAAGTGGAGGGTCAGAAGTTCTGGGCCTGGGTACACCAAGTTTTGAGGTTGAGGGGGTTCAGAAGTTGTAGTGTAGCTGAGAACCTAGAAGTTCATATATTACTGGCAAGTCAGAAGTTCTGGCTATTTGAGAGAGTGAGGTGATAATGTTGTTGGGTAAAGTTGTATAGAAGTTCTGATTTAGGAATATTGTTTAACAGATAAATGGGTGACAATGTCACTAAATAAAACTAAAAAAGATGCTTCTAGGACT